AAATAATTTTATCAAATATTTTAGGCTATCCTGAGTTTGGGTTTTATTTAAATCAAACAGGTCGGTCTATGGTCTATTCTTGTAGTTGGCCAGTCTATCAAATTTATGCTGGAATGCAGGTCGGTCTTTATAATACCATCTGTAGAATATTACATTAGAACAGTCTTTGAGAGTATATAAATTTCAGCCAAACTTTACTGCCATAACACAACATTGTAATCTTTGGAGGAATTTTGACGACATTCAAGATTCCTGGAACAGCCTAGAAACCATTATAGATTATTATGGAAACAATCAAGATGCGATTGTACCAAATGCGGGACCCGGTCACTGGAACGATCCCGACATGCTGATAATTGGTAACTTTGGTCTAAGTTACGAGCAAAGCAAAACACAAATGGCCTTGTGGGCCATTCTGGCGGCGCCTCTATTAATGTCCGTTGATTTACGAACTATCAGGCCCGAGTACAAAGCTATTTTACAGAATAGGAAAATTATTGCTGTGGATCAGGATCCACTGGGCATTCAGGGTCGACGTATCTACAAAGTTAGTTAATTAAATATTAGTAATAATGTAGTATGTGCATGAAAATTGAACAGTAGCGGGGAAATAGTGTGGGTTTCGGAATACGTTAGTAAGAGTTCTACTCTACTGTTTAGCATAAAGGCATTGAAATCTGGGCGAGGCCGATAACTCCCATCTACCAGAATTACTACTCTTACGCCATAGCGTTTGTAAATAGGAGAACGGACGGCACACCGTCCGATGTATCTGTTACACTAAAGGAGCTTGGGCTCCAGTATCCTGGAGGATACAATGTGGAGGTATGCGTTTACGGAACAATCACGATTCTAAGATTTAATTAGATTAAAATAAAAACTGCCAAAATAATTCTGTTTCCAGGATTTATACGAAGATGTAAATTACGGCGTTCTGACGCCTCAAACGAAAATAAAAGTCAAAGTGAATCCATCCGGTGTTGTGATATTGCGATGCGACTTGCATTTAGAAGACGTTTTTGATACGAATCAATTTCAACAATTCTCGCCTTCGAATCAACTCTTTAAAGTCAGACAGAATTCGTTTAAGTGACACGAATTGAACAATTAAGAAATTTCTAATTGTAATTTACCATTTTTATTGTACTTGACTACACAATGTTACCATACTTTGTTAAGAAAGTAGAAAATAAAGAATTTTATAATCTATGAAAAGTTAATTCATTCAGAACATAGGCAATCTTGTTATGTACACTAATAGGCTGTTATCGTGTGGAATGTATTGAATCATTGTTTAGACAAACACCAGGCGTACGCGTTATCAAAAATACGTTGCCATGGCGAAATCTCGTATTTCACCCAATCTGCGGGTTTCCAAGGCCACTGCCACATTTGCGTACATCGTTCAGGATGTGGCATCATCGCGAGATGCCGTCCATCCGCGGAACAGATACCAGCAATACCACCTAAGGTAATACAAAATATTTGATACATAATTTCGTCAGATTCAAACACTGATTCCCTATCATCCGCATTGATATTTACACATAAATACACGAATTCTCACCTGTACTACCATTAGGATTAAGAGGATATTGTTCGGTTTGGTTGCCGTAATCATCAGTATATCTGATGGCCAAGCAATTATTGTTTTGAAGCTTCTTCAACGTATCATCGTTTCTGAAAGTAAATCTTCCCTCGCCATGTGCAACCCACACGCCTAATACGCTATTTTCCATTCCATTCAGCATTATGGATGGTGACTTATCAATTCTGACCGTACTCCACCGACACTCAAACCTCTCGGATAGATTATGATCTAAGAAAACCTCTGGTTCTTCAACATTACCTGCGTTAGAAGGAGGATATGATCAAGCGTGTTAATGAAATTCATGAATTTCGCAAGCACAAATTCCTTATGCTGGATACATTTTATTACTCAACAGAACATACCGGTTTCGTTTCCTATCCATCCCAACAGGGACATTAATTGACATCCGTTACAAACTCCTAAACTGAACGTGTCTTTACGAGAGATAAATGCTTCCAATTGCTTCTGTAAAGACGGATGGAAGAGGAGACTTGCTGCCCATCCCTTGGCTGAGCCCAAGACATCTGAAATTATAGATAAGTTTAAACCAATTATACTTAATGCAGTAGCAGTAATAATTTCCCTCTACAATAAATGAACAATGTACCGGCATAACTGAAGCCACCAGGAAAAATGACACCTTTGAACCTGTCAAATGTTACTTTGTTGTCTAATAAATCTTGCATTGCCACATCATAAACCTCAAAGCCGGCTTGCACCAAGGCTGCCGCCATTTCCCTATCGCCGTTTATGCCTTCTTCTCTTATCACGGCTACGGTGATCTTTGCTGTAGAATCGATAGAAACTATAAAATTTGCTGTGACGTAAGCAAATACTAGATAACAATTTTACGAACAAGTTAAAGTTTTATGAATCCTAACAGGTTTTACATCAGGGTTAAAGGACAACTTGTAAACTGGCGCAGCTCTATCTTTGAGTCCATCAAACTCTTGTAATGCACATTCCACATTTGTTTGACGACGTTCTAATTGGTAGCTAGTTTCTTCCCATAGAGACATCAAGGATAACACTGTCGAATCCAAGACAGTTCGATTTTGAACTTTGACATTTATCTAAGAACATAATGTGAAAGTAATTATAAATGCTCATATTAAAGATTTCGCATAAAATTTAGAGTAAATACTTTCGAAGTCATTCCAAACTTTTCAGATCGTCCAATTGAATATATAGGAGCATTAAATTGTTTGAACACATTTAACACGTGTTGGTAATTTTCTTCATCAACTTCCAATATCCAGCCCACTTCTTCGGCGAATAAAACTTCTATAGGTGTTCCAGATTTGTGGGAAATATTAACGTCCATTCCAGACATACCAGCAAAACACATTTCTAAAAGACACGTGATAAGTCCCCCATCGCTAACATCGTGTCCTGCCAATATTTTTT